CCTATAATTTTTCAGTTACTTATTCTTGTCAAATAGAAAATGTAGAACWTACATATGTTTAATTGCATCACTTTTTGAGCCCATTTTGTTGTTTGTCAGGACATTTTCAATTCTAATACTATCCTCCTGTTTACTTGTAGCTCTCCCAGTTTCATGTCATCTCAAAGCTAGCAAACATGTTTTTCAGTCACCTAGAGCACCATGAATAATTTAGTAGTATAGTAAGTATTTTTAGTAGCATGGGAGGAAGAGGTGGCAGGAATTCTTTAGATTCAATGTATTTGATTAAGTGGATACTATTTACAAGAAGAAAAATCTCCCTTTATTTCTCTTTCGCTCCTTCAGTTAAAAATACTATTTCATTTTAAAGCATAAACTTMATGGGTTTTWAACCAAAACACTTTTTTTTWAAGATTAAGGTTCTTAGRGTAATATTAACATGTTTTGCAAACTACAGCAASTATCACAGTGACCTACACTTTGGTTAAAGTGTATAATTTTGGGACAGTTTTTATTTAAAGTTTAACTTATTATTTCAGCAAAGAAATGGAAATATGCCAACATAATTTTCTCCTATCACAAAGTTGGAAGGCATTGTCAAAGACTGAGCAAGCTATTAAATGGAAAGGACTAGATGAGCTTGATGCCTGGTGTTACTGGAACAAGATGATATTCAGAACTATAAATGAAAAGTCATGCACTTGGGGACAATCTAATATAATACAGGGACACACAGCTGGAGAGCAAAACGATCACAGAACCACAGAACAATGGCAAGTGGCCAGTTGTGCATTTTAATGCTTTGTTTTGCCATTGAAAAAAGACAGTTAATTTTTACAGATTTCTGAGGAGAAACTGGTTATCTATTTTCCTTCTRATTTTATTAATCAAGATTGTCTGTAGATGATGGCTCCTAGGATGCCAGGAAAAGMTTTGAAGGTTTCTCTTGGCTCTGTCCTGTCAAAAATCATTCACCCTCATGTAGAGTTTCTTTACACRTGACACTGAAGACTTCTTCATCTCTACCCTTTCTATGGGCCATTTGTTTCACCACATGATTTAAGGACAAGGTCCACTTCAAGGTTTCACATGTGCCACAGTAGAGGGAAGATGGATACCATCAGTGGTAAAATTGTTCATAAAATGTACCCATGGCTGTAGGTGGGAAGCTAAACAGCAGTTGGAAGTTACTTATTTCCAGAATTACCTTTCTTACTTTATATATATGTTTTAGGTAAATTTTGACCATGTTCACACAATAGTCCTTAAATACAAGCTATTTTGGATGGGGTTTTGATTGACATTTGCTATTTTATTTAATCATTTACTCTTTCTATCTCTGATAATTTTATCTGTTGCATTTTCTATAGCTATATGTAGTATCTAATTATTTTAATATATTTTGAAGATTGTTACAAGCTTCTCTAGATGTATTATTGTTGTATTCTCTGTAGACTGCAAAGATGATATTGCATTTCCTGTCTAGTCTATGTCTCTAAAATAGTTAGTTGTTCATTTTTCCTTAGAGCCTAGWAAAACTGTAGACCCAAGCCTTTAAGGTGATGGGATACAATCTCCCCTGGCTATTTCCTTTTTGTCTTCTCTTTTCACTSTCCTTCATAACACTACGCATGTAGATTGTACAGCACTGGTGGAAATCATATTGAGATCTCTGGTAATTTCACACSCTTACAATAAGAAACAAATAATCAGATGCTTTAATTTAATATACTACTAATGGAAGAATGAAGCTCCTTTTCCATATCRTGTGAATTAGACCAGCTTTTCAGGTACTTGATTTAATGTAATTTTCATACAYAAGCAGTTGTCTATCCATACAGATAAATAATCAAAATGCTTTTGTAGTTAGAAGCTTCTCTGCTCCTTCTGTGGATCTGTGCTGTCTCACAGTCCTCTTATTTTGAGGCTTCAGAACATTCCTGAATAAACCATACTCCTAATTAGAGCCAGCCAGAGGTTTTCATTGAAAGCTTCGTTACCAAAAAACATTGGTTAAATGGAATTATTTGTCAACTTTTTGTTGATTTTTGGGAATCATCTGTGAAATTAGAAAACCCTATTGAATGGAATRCTTTACCAAAAAGTTTTTCAACATTATTTTAAAATACTGTGTAATGTTTAAATGAATCAAAACCAAATTGATACTTTTGATGTGATATAATTATAGTTCTCATTTGGCACATTTTTTCTTAKTTGCTGAAAATTTCAAAAACCTTATTTTGTTCAAGTCAAACTCCTCATTCTCTCACCACAATTACAAAAGGAGCAAATTAGCAATGTTTTCCCTTCTCTTCGTAGTCTGTTTTTCAAAGCCACAGTGACATTTCTTTAGTCACTGTATTCATTTCTTCTCCAACATTTCTCACTTTCGATTTACCTGTTGCTTTTTATTGCTTTCCACATCTTTTTTTTTGTCCTCTTCATGGCTGAAGGAAAGGAGACAGCAGAGAGTAAATGACTGCCAGAACATCTGAATGCATAGCAAGACACAACAATGTTTCTTGCTTGAAAAGTTTGGAAGAGATTGTGTATGTGTGAARGAAGGCGGGAAGGGCAGAAGGTCGGTGGTGAGGTAGGAGAGACATAAAAAAGTTTTACTGGTGCAATGGRAGACAAGGTATGAAAATCGGTAAGCATGGGAAATACAGGGCAAGCAGAAGAGTGGAAAGAAGTAGGATGGCCTTTTGGTGGAGTGGTGCCCAAAGGGGGTGTCTTATTGACTTGCCACGGAGAGGGGCTGACAGTGCTGCCAGCACTGCTGCAGCAGGGAGCGAGAGTAGATGACTTCAGTGTGGGCATTTGCCACTGCAGTGAACACTCAAAGGTGCCCTCTTTTCTTCCCATTGCAGGTTTTTCTGCATTTGGAAAGAATGCACATCAAAAATATTGCACACATTTATTTTAGAATATTTACACAATCTATAGCTTAAAATAATCCAGACTGTTGATAATACAATTTCAGCAATTGCTTTGGTTGTACTCTGCCTGTGGAACCTCTATTTTTTGATTTCTCTTGCTTTGCTATCCCTCCTACTTTTTTTTCTATCTCACCTTCACAGTTTTAGCAGCTACGGTCACATCAGCAGTAGCTGCTATGTATTCAAAAGAATTTTTGAGAATCTAGAGACTTGGCTGGTTATATAAAATGGTGTATTTTAGTCCAGGAGTCTCAGTTTAAGCAAGTGTTCAAACATGCAAAAATTCTTTACCATTTCTTTGAAGAATTTGTGAGTATATATCAGTACCATCTACTGGCAGTAAGAGTTACAGCACTTAGTAGGCTCACACAGGAAATGCCAGATTTTACTTCAATAACCAGGATCCTTCAGCAGGAAGTTAGGTGTGGTCTGTAAAAGGAGAATTAAAAAAAAAAAAAAAAAAAAAAAAAAAAAAAAAAAAAAAAAGGAAAAAAAAAAAAAGAAAAGACATGATGGAATTTTAGCTGCAGTCTTCCCTGGTGCCATTCCAAACCCACACAAGTGCAAGATTCTTCACTGGTAATGAATTTTTAATTATTTCCTGCAGTATTAAAACAGAATTATGCTTTTTCTGGATTTTTTCCCTTCTGTAACTGAAAATAAAATCTGCTGCAGGACCACTTTCATTTTCCTAATGAACCCTTATGCTGCTACTAGTCAGTGCAGCTCCAGTAGCAGTTTGGTACAGACCGCCCATGACAGAATGCACCAGGTGCATTTGCCTGCAGTGGAAGAGCATGCTCACAGGGAGACCTGCAGGAGTTGGGATGTGTGTGGATGTTTGTGTAGGTGTAAATGGCTGTGTGCGGATGGTTGAAAAGGAGGAGAAAGCATCATGTTGCAGCTTATTTAACAACCTTCAGAAAGATGAATTTGTTGCGGCTGTGCTGGAGTATGTGTGCTAAGCGAGACAGTAAAATAGGATCAGGCTGATTGTGTTCAAACTGTTGTATTGTTTCAATCTGCTAATTACTCTATTGCATTTGCTGTATTTTTAACGTGCTTACTAAGAAGGACTCTTGAGAAAAATTTTTGTAGGCTACAGCAGAGGTCCTGTTTGCAATTTCAGACAAAAGTACTGCCATTGGGAATATTTTCCACTTGTTCTTTTTAGCTGCTGTTTTTTGAACTGCCTGGAGACATTAAGAAGAGATGGTCCTGGTCTTGCCAGTGAAATTCATGAAAAATGTGTACAATTGATATRAAATCAGACATAAAGTATCTAAGTGCAGTATGTAATGATTAAAATCGTTTTTGTTTAATTCAGCAGTTCTTCCAGTGCACCGTGTGTTGCCAGGCAGGGGATCTGAATACAGGTGCTTATGCCTGTATCTTGCTTCCTGAGCTGGCAGCTCTGCAAAGGCAGCATATTTGTACTCGAAGAGAAGGAGCATCTTGTATTGCTTTCAAATGATCCTTCTGGCCTTACGTGGCAGTAGTGGATTCTAAAAGTAATTTCTGGTCTATATAGCTAGAGGGAGGATTGGTCCAAGATGTAGCTTTCAGGATAATGAGCTAAATCGTCTGGAGTCTCATTCCTCAGCACCAAATCAAACACTTCAGAACTGTTGATTCCTCACACTGAGTATAGTGGCTAATATCACYTACTTTATTAATTGGAATGGGTATCATTCCCCTTGATAAGCAAAAGATGTTATTGTATTGTATGATTTTTTTCATCAGCCTTTGGAATTGATGATCCATTGGTGCAAGCACTGAGTGAATTTTGAACTAAATGTTTAAGAATTGATACCTCYGAGACATCTCCAAGGGGCAAGCTGCAAAGGAAAATGGTTTGTCTTGAAKTCAAAACAAATTTTAAAATTAATTTCACAGCAGCCTCCTCTTGGATGATTATTACTGAATTTAACAAGATGTCCCACACGAAATTCTGTAATGTGTATTCCTTTACATTGTTTGTAGCTGTGTTGCTCTAATTTTTTTCTGTGTGTTTTATGTTTTTAGCACTTTTTTATGAGAGAGGCTAAACAGTAATTAAGAGGTGCAGGATGAAAAGATGGCACAATCAGTGCTGGTACCACCAGGACCCGACAGCTTCCGCTATTTCACAAGAGAATCACTTGCAGCTATTGAACAGCGTATCAATGAAGAGAAAGCCCAAAAATCCAAACAAGAACGCAAAGATGAAGATGATGAAGATGGCCCGAAGCCAAACAGTGACTTGGAGGCAGGGAAGACACTGCCATTTATTTATGGGGACATACCTCCAGGAATGGTGTCCGAGCCCTTGGAAGACCTGGACCCATATTACATCAATAAAAAAGTGAGTATTTCTATCAGACTTCAAGAAAAATAAATAACAACCCTTCAAAGACATAGTATTTCTATCATTTTTGACCCAGTCCTTCCATATAATAATTCCCCCAACAGCTGATGTGATTGGCAGAAATCTATCGTAAGAACAGAAATTAGTACTGCAAGTTTGTGGGACCCCATGCATCAGTAGACATGCACTTAGAGTTTTTAAAATAAATGTGCCATTTTACAAAAACCTGTAACCTTCAGTGATTTACACAGTGGAATTGAAGTAGCAGCACAGGGGGTATATTTAGAAAAATTACTAATTGGTGTATTACAATTACAAAAAATAACTAATTGTTGTGAAARGAGCAGGTCTTCAAAATGAAGCCCATCTCGAAAGATGGTAAGCATCTCTTACTAGATTTCTTCACTGTCATGAAAAGTTTAGGTTGTATTGTTTTGTCACTGGGAAGGATAGGGAAGTATATAAAGGTGATTTTTCAGGATATGAGGAGGAACATCCTCTTCCATATTTATTCTGTAGAGGCATCATTTATCCAACTTAGATAGTCTGGGTTAAAAAATTTTCTTATCCAGTTCTATTTTGTTCTATGATTGTTTTCAAAGAGGAGGTGTTTAAAAGAGAGACATAAATAAAGAGGAGGTAGCAATTGCGCTTGGGTTGTTGACAGAATGTTACATAATTAAAAAATTATTTTTACAGAGATATTAATTTAAAAAAAAAAATCCACATATTTGCTTTGACTTAAAGTAACAACAACTGTTGTGCCCAGCACAAAAGTGCTGAACTTTAGACTAGTGTCCAGATGGCCTTGGATTTCCTCCAGATATTCAGTCCCTTTGATTTTGGCATCATATGTATTGCACTCTCATTTTTCTACTAGTGAAGAAAAAATAATTTWTTTTTTTCTGTTTTCATAATTTTTTCTCCTGCTTTCTTTTCTTTCCTTGGAAACTGGCTAGCTAACAAAAACAAGTGAATTAAAAACCAAAAACCTTGAAAGTGAAGAAACTACTGCAAAGAAAAATGAAGAAAAACCCCAAGAATTGTTATGAGTCAAACCCAAACTAAGAGAAAAAATGCAAATGAAGATATTTCCTGCAGGAATTAGGGGTATGCCTCATCAGTAATATGTTGAAACAGTAGCAATTTAGGCATACCATGAGAAGCTAAGCATAACAGCCAAAAAAGTCAGTTGTGTCTTAAGTGTTCATTGGAGAATTTCTAAAACTCAGTTTATGTATGGAGAATCATGAGTTAAATTTGAAAGCAAGATTTTCAATTAAATATCATGTTCTGCTCCCTTTACTCAAGTGATAGACCCTGTTAAAGTCTGGAAGGCAAATGGAATTTAGGTCAAAATACTGAATCTTTTCCTTAATTCTTTCTGCATTCTTTAGTAGTAAAAATCTAAATTCAGTGCCAGAAATCCTAAAGTTAGAGCATGTATTATCATGCTGTGGAAGCTAGAAAAATAATTCTGCAATTAAGTGTGAAGAAAAATCCTACTSAATTGCTCGTTCATGATTGAGAAATGCATTGCAGTTGTCATAGTCTTTTCCAAAAGCATAGTGGTTTCCAGCAGGAGAAGCAAGACTTCAGACTGTATGTTTCAATCATGATTTCTCCTATTTATTTTTCTTAGCATTCTTTGCATATTTTTGAACRTCATTGTTTGGTTCAGGCTCCATTTTCATTTTTTAATATATCTTGATGAGTCAGCATAACACAAATGATACTGCCTCAGAGGTTTTGTCAGAGTAAAGGGAACAGAAAATGTAAGAACTCTATTAGTGGTCATGTTTTCATGACTCCAGGAATAATCGTAAGAGAGCTGAAAAATAATGGTAGTAATGGTAGCACGTTACAGACTCCTGGACAACAAAGGATCAAAGTGCAGCTTGAGAATCACTAAGTATGGGGGAATACAATTACATTCMGTTTGGAAGATTTATATCATTTATATAATTGTTACCATTTAAAATTTATTATTTTTGGCAGGGAGAGGCATTGGGTTTTCAGCTGCTCTATTTGCCACACCTGCTTAGAAAATAGAGCATAATCTTGACAAATGCTGCCATCTGATTCCAGATGAGGCAGATCATGGCTGCTGGCAGTGTTCCAGGTCTGCATGGCTTATGTGCCCTTTGGGCTTCCTMGGACTGCCACAATGCTTTCTAGATCCACTTCCTTTCAAACAGCATGAGCTTTCATCCATGTGTAGAAGGAAGACATGATGTAAATAGACAGAACTTTCCCCAGATGTGTGGGAATCAAAATAATTTTAAAAARCATCTTAAAACCTTTATTCTGTATTTCTTGGATTTTAAGAAKGCTGTTACATGTAGAAATGCTTTTTTAAATGTTGGTAATACACATGAGTTATTGCTGAAACTATGGAGAGACAGTGAAAATACATGGATACAGTGACTAGAGTGAATTCTGTATTAGATGAAAGTAAAGCATGACAAGGAAAATAGAATTGCAGGTGCAGAACYGTCACAAGCAATAGTTGAAAAGGGGAATAATACATTACTCTCAGAGCACAGCAAAAATTGAGTACATCAGTGTTATGTTCAAAAACTTTTTATTGAACACTCTTGATTTCCATATTTTCATGATCACTTGAAATTTAGATCACTTTGAGGTACTGTTGTCTTAGTACTTTGATGTGATAATCTATGCTGGTTATTTGATTTAGGGTTGGAAGTTGAAGTTTTAATGGCTCTCATTTTGGTTAGTTACATACCTCAGTGTATAATATATACAAAAAGTATACTAATTCTTCAAATATTGCCTACATTAMTTTTATACTTTTGTCTGTTTACTAGCTAGCAGTATCAGGATTACTTATGATTTCTAAATAGATGTGTTTAAGTGTTCATTTAATTGTATTTACAGTAATTTGACCGGACTCTACAATGTGTGAACTGGACCAAAGGGATTGTGTCAATGAAAGAAGAGCATATTGACTAAATATGATTAATGATGAAATGAAAATGATTCTGGGTTTGTAATTTAATATCTTCTAAATTAAATTTTTCATTCTTTTTTTCTTTTCCCAGACCTTTATAGTATTGAATAAAGGGAAGGCAATATTCCGATTCAGTGCCACCTCTGCCCTGTACATGTTAACTCCTTTCAATCCTCTTAGAAAAATAGCTATTAAGATTTTGGTACATTCATATCCTTTTCAAGTGGCTAGTCTAAAACAGTAATGAATGAGATGTTACTTAGTATTTAAATCATTCTCTGGCACATGTCCCAGGATCAATATGATCTGTAGTGCTTTGTCCCTCTTCTCTCTACTATTTCTGTCTTCTGTTCTTTTTCTCATTCTCTTTTTATGTTTCTGTTCATTGCTGGATCCTAATATAGTAATACCAGAAGCCAGACAACCAGTCATCGTCCTTTACAATTTCTGTGTCTTCGTTCTTCCCCCACATAATTTTCCCTTCCCTCTTATTTTTTCTGTAATCATCACATCTTTTTTTCATCTTTTCCCCTCCTCCACATTTTTCATAAACTGCAGATATATTGCTCAGAATACTTTAAGTTCTCACTGGCACTGTGTACTAAAATCAAATCTTTGATCCCAGATCTGTTCTTGCTTGAATATTTAGTGAAAATATGGTTTCATTATTCCTTTTCATTTTCTGATTCAGTTAACACTCGCAGAAAGAGAGATTCATAAAACAGCTTAGGTTTCTTGTTTTATCATACATTCTCAGTCCTATATGTATCTCACTTGTCTTTTATTTCTTGATCATTGTTGCATTATACACCCATCAGCATATCGATGTTTTAATTTCAGTCTTCARGAAGGTAATGAGATTTCCACATTGTAGGTAGATATTTGAGAAACGAAATTATTATTATTATTATAGTGACTTCACTATTGTTTTGTCTTTTTCACTGTTTTAATAGCTGACTGTAGTAGGCATCCCCCTAGTCTGATCCCAAATATCAATATGAGCAATGAAGGCATTGACTTCAGAAGGTCAGCTTACTTAAGGAGCAAATACAAATGTTTGCACACTTGTATTTTACAGAAGTCCAACATAAGTACACTGGCAGTACTTTCATGTAAGCATTGCATATAGTGATCCTAAGAGTAACTAAATCTTGAAWGGATTTGTTTCAGTCTTGGTGTACTAGAAGGCTGATAATTACAACACTTGGCATGTRTTGGATGTTGTTATCAATGGCTAGCCTACAAATGACTTCCAAAATGATCTTGACACTACATAGCCTGTTTTGAATTTTCATGCTACAGGTGCCATGTAATAATTATTTTTCAATTATATGACATTTTTTACCATGTTCTGGAGCATTATTGAGTTACATAGAATAACAGAAGATTGTGGGACTGAGATGGTAGTGAGGAGCTGGTCACCAAAGTCAGAATGCTAAAACATGTTGTTTGAATTTATGGTAAGGCATATAATAGTTTTCCGCTAATGAAAGTGTAGTGAGGATTTGCAACTCTTAAGAAGACATTTCATCAAAAAGGATTTTGAAAGCCCACGTCAAGTGCAGGCTGGGGAAACACTTGTAACATGGGGCTTTTATRTTTTTAAAAATATATTCCTTTCTCTTGTGCTCTGTCATATATGATTCACATTAAGAGAAGCTAAGTTCTCAGTAAAGGATTTAATATTTATTCATTGCGCAGAAAACCCAAAGAATTGTTGAATGTAGTACCACAGGTTTTTGACAGTTCAGAAGGCAGAACTTCAAGGTTTTTTTATCGTCACTTGAAGGTTTTTTTTAACTAATGTACACATGCAAAGGTCAGAGGAACCTCAGAGTAGTTCTCACCCCATTATATTCAGATTTTTATTTACGAGGACCACATGAACCTGCAGCTGTTGTCGAGCTTTGTCGTCTCTGTAGCTTTAGCTGTTGGTGCCATCATGTGGMCGTTTTGTGATTCATCCACGTGGTTTTAATTTTGGTGGTTGTATTTTTGTGTCTTAGAAGAATGTCAGCAGTTCTGAGAGTGAAAKGTTGTAGATTTAGAGTGGTTCTGTTCACATAAATGAAAGTATTTATCACTTGGACCTGCTGTGGAGTTCTATTTGGATTTCTTTGTTTGAGAATCACATTCCTCACCTAACAGCATTTTTGTTACAAAAGTAGTATCTAAAACAAACAGCAATAAAATGCTYATCTCGCTAAGATTTCCCTATGTCCTCTCCTACTATGTGGCAGCTACCTTTCAATGTGTCATAACAATAAGCAAAAATGTTGACGCATGCCTAATTTCGAAGTAAAACATTAAAGTGAATACATTTATTTTTCATTGCTTTGCATGCATGAAGCAGATCAGATTTGTCTAGATCATCTAAAGAAATGCTTTCTGTGTTATTCCATTAAACTGGAAGCTAATACTTCAAATGTTGACATTTTTGTTCAGTAAGAAAAAACAAGATCTGACTAAAAGTTAGAGTTGGGACACTTTTTAAAACACTTCCCAGTCTTTCTAATTTTTACTATATGATTGCTCTCTTTTAGCTATAAAGCAGTGAATGAAAGCTTTAACATAKTCAGGACTTTTCCCTGGCTATTAAAAGAGTGATGAAGGGATAGATAGCTCCTGACAGTGAAAAGCTACCAAAGCACTGTGTTATTTGATACTCTTTTTATGAGATTTCCTGGCTTGCATTCCTTAACTCTTAGCCTACATTATTCAGCATGCTTATCATGTGCACTATTTTGACCAACTGTGTATTTATGACCATGAGTAACCCTCCAGACTGGACAAAGAATGTAGAGTAAGTTAAATGGATTTTCTCTGAATAATATCCAGTAATCAGAAATAAACTGCTGTAAATTGCTTTATATTAGGGTGGCATCCACTAGCAGCAGCCACCTTGTTGGGATATTCTTTCAACAGCTTTTCTGATGCTAGTTTCTTTGCTGTAACATGAAATACATATAATTGTTTCACAAGGTCTTTAATGTCTTTGTTAGCAGTGCTAGATGGGAAATGTGAGAAAAGCTGTTTTTATCATTATACAGAAGAAGTGTATTATAAATGCTTTTAACTGCATTCTATATCTGTGCAAGAATGAGGGGAAATGCACTCTTTCATCTCGATTGCAATGACCATTACAGATMAAGGGACCATCTTATGGAGGGCTGTGGTCATCACAGTGCAGCTCTCTCCTACCAAAACCAATCTAACAATGGAAAACGGGTGCAAAATAAGTTCTTAGAAGAAGTATTGAAGTGGTTAGCTAACCATTGGTGCAATATAATGTTAGCTTGGCTAACTGGTCCGGTGTGGTGTCAGTGTGTGGTGCCAATACACAATGACAGTTCCACGGCTGCAGACCACGGTGGGAAACCCTGGTGCTTCCTTTCTGCTGCTTCTTCATTCCTTACTGCTTGAGCTGATACCTGCTTAATCTTCAGTAATCAAAAGTGAAATCATTGGGTTATTAAGATCAACAAAGACATTCTCATTTTGAGATAAGTGTGAACATAATGTATTCAGGATATTTATGATGGAGATTGGCTGCTTGAATATTTTTTCATGCCTCATCTGTACAGGTGTGCAAGAAATAAATTATTATAATTTTATATAGAATTATTAGAAAACTTTCATATTGGAAAACTGTTTTCAGGTTGGCTCAATTAGAGTGGGTTYTAAAGCAGTTTAATTTTAATTACTTTTCATTAAAGATATAAATTAAACTAAATTTCAAGATGACATCACTCAGACATCAAAGATTGAAATGACTCAGAATGCCAGAGTTATATATTTTTTCAATTCACATTTCAACTACATTTTTTAGTCAAAATGAGTACCTGAATTTTATTGGCATTCATAAATATTTTTGGTTGTTCTTGCACTTGTTTCATTCTGGTATTACATCTGTCTTGCTGAAGGTGAAGTACTGGATATACCTACTTTATAACATACTTACAGAGGAATGAGGACTGATGAGGGTTGGCACTTGCAGCTGTCTGGTATTAAGCAATGTTTCAGCATTAAAATGACATTGAAGAAAGGAATTTTTAGCCTGAAAGCAACTTCTAAAACCCTAACATAATCYATCTGTGTGTTTTATTGTAACATGGATTCAGACTGGACATAAACATGCACCAATGAAGTAATTGGGAATTTTGCATCTGTTTTATTGTATAGATTATAGAAGTTGAAGTTAAAATATGGGTTATCACTTTTTAATCCTAATTTCATTCCTCTTTCTTTATAGTATAAGTTAYGCAGATGTTAAAGTTCATTGTAACTGTCATTTTTTCTTATGCCAYTTAAAGAGAAGAAAATGAGAATAAAMCAACTAGAGAGCATAAACTGCAAAGATAACATGGTCTATAAACTCTGTCTTGCATATTTTCCTCAGATACACATTCACTGGAATTTATACCTTTGAATCACTTATTAAAATTCTTGCAAGGGGTTTCTGTTTAGAAGATTTTACATTTCTCCGAGACCCATGGAACTGGCTAGATTTCACTGTCATTACATTTGCGTAAGTCTTCTACTTATTTTTTTAATAAAAATTCTTTCTGGTAGCATGAGATTAGTGACTAAAAATTGCCTCATATCTTGTCAGCCAGAATATTTGGAGCCTGGACTTCCTGTGGTTTCAATATGTTTCTTCTACCTCTTTTACACATTTTAGTATTTCTAGCCAAGCATGTGCTGCAGAGGCCAGCATGGTGTGCCAGCCCAATAGGATTGTGAATGCCTTCAGCCTGAACTGTTCATATCCTGTCTCCTTTCTGCATACCAGAATTAAAGGAATCCTTTTGACTTCCTTCTAATAGCTGACCAGATTAGGTTTCAAACATCAAGTCAATGTGGTTTATTATGATAAAACTTAATTTAATTTTAAGGTCAGAACCRTATTTATAACACAGGCAAAAGACAGTGAACGGTGAAAAGGTCTTRCTCAAAGACCCAAGCAAATAGAATAAAATCTGCCTCAATTCTGAGTAATTGTGATTTAATCCTACAGGTATGTAACAGAATTTGTAAACCTAGGCAATGTTTCAGCTCTTCGAACTTTCAGAGTATTGAGAGCTTTGAAAACTATTTCTGTAATTCCAGGTAAGAAGTAGTTGGTGTAAGGTGTTAGGCCCCTCGTATCTCCAGCTGTTATTTGTGTGCTGTCATTGTGTTTGTGTGTGAACTCCCCTATTACAGATATGTGACAGAGTTTGTGGACCTGGGCAATGTCTCAGCGTTGAGAACATTCAGAGTTCTCCGAGCTTTGAAAACAATATCAGTCATTCCAGGTGAGAGCGAGGTTAAACACTGAGGCTGACTTTAATTCACTGAAATGGAATTCATATTTTTTAAATAGATGTCATATTTCTTTCCACAAAAAAGCAGGAATCAGAAGATATCAGAATTCACTGAAATCTCTGATTCATTGCTTTTGAACATGAGCACTTTCCTTTTGAAATCAGCCTTTGAGTTTAACAGATTCTTGCATGAGACATTGCAGTATACAGCGTGTGTGGTTTGCATCGTATGACGTCAAGCTTTCTTCTCCACATTCAATGAATATTAATAACCCTGAAGTTTTCTTACCCATGTGTATCCTACCTACATGATGTTATGTGATATTTGTTGTGAATATTTGTGTCTAAAAAGTAAAACTGTTTGAAATGTTGACTTATGAAGAAGGTGAGGGAATAAGATAATAAAGAACAGCATGGGTGTTGCATGGGGGATTTATTATCTTAAAAATCTACAATTTTCCAAACCCTTTCCAGTTTTATAGCATTAAATTTGAATCCTATTTGTTGTTGAACAGGCTTTTTACTACTGTCTTCTAAATCTAGTATGTTATAAAACTGATGGTAGTAAAGGTTTGGAGCAAGATCTATTGACAAATGAAAAGAAAGAAGACATTTATGTGAGATTAATGTACAGCATGAGTAAAAAATAGTTGCTTGTTTTATCATTAAAACAAGTGTTTTGAAATATATGCAGCTCATTCCATTCACAGTGTCAAATGGACATAAATTTCAGCTATTTATTCATTTTCAAGTGAAAAAGCTCTTCACAAAAATGTTGTTTCACAGACATTACAATCATGTATTTGGGCTTCTGCATGAAATCTGTAACTTTATTGAGAGTCACTGTCATTTTTGTGCTTTGCAAAAGTTTCCAACATCAGAATAAAAATTCCTTTCCATTTGCAGGCCTGAAGACTATTGTAGGAGCCCTGATTCAGTCTGTGAAGAAGCTCTCAGATGTGATGATCCTGACTGTGTTTTGTCTGAGTGTATTTGCACTGATAGGGCTGCAGCTGTTCATGGGCAACTTGAGGAATAAATGCCTGCAGTGGCCTCCAGACAATTCTACTTTCGAAACAACTGTTATTTCCATCTTTAATAGCTCTATAGGTGAAAATGGTACATTTWTTAATGCAACAATGACAATATTTAACTGGGATGAGTACATCGAAGACAAAAGTAAGAGTTAATTATGTTATCTACTGCATTGGTTTTCTGGTGTTGCTTTGAACAGATTTGAGAACATTAGTATCTTTCTTTTGCCTTTAGAAGTGTGTAATCTGGCCAAGAAACGTAAAAGCACTCATTTTTCTCTAGTAAATAAAAACACRGTCATAATATAATGTTTTACTGGGTTGCAAAATACCGTTTTACCTTTCACTGAATATGAGTTCTAGAGCAAAATCGCATTTCAGTATAAACCAGAAATTTCTGTGCTAACTTCAAGTCTTCTGAAAWAGTGTGACAGCCTTAAAGTGGGATATGGAATGTAATAGCTAGATGAGTGCAAGATAGTGCCCAGTATAATAAGCCCACATCTGAATGTCAGCTAGCCCAAGAATCCTGCCAGAGCATGTAGACAYAGCTACCTTGTTCCTTCTGGAGGTGAGTGTCTGCCCCACACTCCCTTGCACAGCATAGACATGTCTTTAAGTGAACACTGGCCATTTAGTCAATGATTCTTTCTTGAAAATAAGAACTAGATTCCATATTTCTGTCATAATTTGTTTCCTAACTTTGGAAAATCAAGAAATGAGGGTTTTTTTTTTCCCTTTTGTACTTCATAATACACTATTTCCACCATTTTAGGTAGTTAATGTTAGTATTCTGTTAACAAAACTTGTTTAAAAATTCAGATAGAAGAACTCTGAACATATCTAYAGTAAATTGCTATTCTGTCTTTCCTAATAGTATTGTTAATCTCTCCCATTTATCTGTTCAGCCCCTTCTATTTATTTTCATATATTTAGTGTATTTAATGTATTCATAATTAGGCATAATAGGTTTTTTATAAAGTCTGTATAAATATTTTAACTGGTGACTATATGACTGAAAGTTAGGAAACCTCAGTTTAAGAACTAAATGCCTTTGGATCCAAGTCTYATTACCTTATAATCTTTTAATATACTTATCTCAGCATGCTTGAAATATACAAATGTACAGAAATTTTGGATGATGACCTATTCTTAAAGCCATCTGAAGAATAGATTCCATTCCATTCCCCTTTAGCTGTTTCTGGTACTACGTCACACAAATAGAAAGGTTGGTTTTTTTTTTTTTTAATATCTGACCTACTTTTTCATAATTTCAGATTGAATTTATTACTACATCTGCTGCAGGCTTAGAAATAAGATAATCATAGACTACTTTATATTAGTCTTTATGCAGTTAAAAACTCTTATCCTCTGTATTTCAGGTCTTTCCTAAGCCAAGCAATCCTATTTTCTGTTTTGCATTTTCTATACCTATTTTCACTTTTTTTGTTTCTTTTTTTGAATCTTTTCAGTTAGTCTGGGGGTTGTTGTGTTTCTGTTGCCTTTTTTTGTTACAGTTTTTRTTTGCTTGGATTTTCTTATGAGAGCCTCAAATTTGGTATTAACTCCTCTAATAATTACTTATACTTTTTATCTTTACCTCGTGCCATATACRAAACATTGCCATATATGAAACATTGCTGTTAACACATTTCAAAATCACCTCATTTTTTTGTCAGCACTGTATTGTTGGTTCAGAGTCAATTTGTATTCTGTGACAGGCATTGCAGCTTTTTGTACAGTGGTGGCTGCGGTCACATCCTGTCTATTTTGTATTTACGTATTTGATTTTGCCTTGTCAAGTGTAGTGTTTTCTACTTGACTCTATTGGAATAAATCCAATTGCTTTTGGAACTACTYGTCAATTTGTAAAGGTCATTCTAAATTTCAAATACCTTTTCTACTAGCTTAATGTCTTCAGAACACTTGATGCATTATTTTTCTATTGTTTCATGTSTTGAGTTGGTAATGAAACTTATTAGAAAACCATGTCTAACAAGATACCTGGGAGATCTTCAGAGAGATGCCCTTATGAATTGACACTGGCTCGCTGGCAGTTCTCCCTGTGAACCTTTTTTGAGTATTTTGTTTTATTCCCAGCCAGAACATATATTTTTTTATTTGAACCTGGAAATGTCATATACCCATGTACCCTTGTTGCTTGTCCTATTATTAAGTTGGCAGGAGATAGGAGTAGTTTTGTATATGGCATATTTCCTACAAATTCATCTTTAATTGTTTTATTACTTTATCTTTTTTTTTTTTTTTTTTTTT